TAGTAAACCTTGTGAGAACTGGCTACCTAATCCAAAAGATGTTAATACATGGGTCATTTGTGGGAATAATTTTTATGGTTGACCATCACATTGACAAGTTTTATCTTTTTTGTTTGGATAATTTGGACTGTTTGGACTTGCCATTTGTAATTTTGTGTTAATATTGCGAGGATTTTAAATTTTATTAATTATTCTCATTTCAATACAGAGTTTAAAAAAATCTGAATTATTGATTTTATCTTTTGGAGATTGGATTTATCTAGAAATGAAAGTAAGTCAAACACTGCAGCACTGGCTTTCTTGCTGCCATGCCTACATGATAACACAACATCCGGTGTAAACAATAACAAACTAAGTCACGCCCACTGCTGCCAAATTTGAATTTCAAATAGAAATAGAAGCCCTGCTTCAAATGTTTCAATACAAATTACAGCTAAGAAAAAATTTTTGAGTACATTTAATTTGAGACCAAAGGTGCACACTGTTGAGAAGAACAAGCATGACAAAAATCTGATGATAAAAGAAATTCAGTATTTTAGTATTTGTGAATAACTCGCTGCAATCTGAATGTGGCCAGAAAAATCAAATATACCACCATTTTTCTCATTGGCTGCTATTTATACTCCTATGTCCTCCTTTAAGTGTTGCAATTTTCCTGAAGACGTTGCTACAGTAAGCCCACGGATATTGAATGAAATATGCCAGGGGTCTAACGGCAACGTGTTGACCAAGGACCTCTTGTTTTCGAGGATGTGATCCCATGGATCCTCTCTCTCTATGCCTCCAAACGCTTTCACACCTTCAAGTTTTAATTCTATATAAAACATTTCTTCCAAATTGCTCCCGTATATCTTTAACAGCCTTTCTCTCTCCTCTTATTTTCTCAAGTTCTTTTCCAATATGCAGATAAGAATCTCCCGTGAAAAACCAGTCTGGGATTGTTTGACCTAAATTTCAATTTCACGTCTTGCAAAAAAAAAAATCAATTATTTGTAGATCCAAATATAAGATATTAAAAAAAATGTAATTATTTCTATAAACCACCAAAAAAATTATGAAAAGAATTTTTGAGAAAGTAAACGTATGATTCTTGAACCAGCTCCCAACTGTCCCGGACACTTTCTTGTAAAGTATTTTGTTGGAACATCTCTAAACATGCTCGTCGCTGAAATACTAGTAACTAGCATCCTTCCTCAAAACTTTTATATATTTCCCCAAATATTTAATCCAAATAACTACTGATTTAATAAGAGGCCTTCTGTTCATTTCTTTCTCTATCTTTTTGTAACTGTGTAGATCAATCCAACAGATATATTGTAAACGTGTTACATTTGGCTGTGTATTCTTTTTAGCGCCTTTCGCGGAAAGAAACTTCCGCTAAATCAAGTACACCGCTAAATGACTTGCACATATATGCATGATAAAGAACATCAAGAAATGCGCTAAATCAAATCTACGCCAACATCTTGAACCAGAAGTCTCTGTTGAGAATGTAGCTCTACTGGTTTGTACTTATAACAAAGGGAGATCATACCAAATCTGTAGGAGGAGTCTTTTAATTTTAGTAACCATGGCAAAACCGTTCATCTAAATCAAACACCCATGCACTAAATTGTGTATTTCAGTGTAGTCTATTTGTATGCCAAGTTATATTGATATCAGACCAAAACTGTATGAGGGTAGCGATTTAAAGGAAGTTCACCGAAATTTCTATTTTTAGTAACAATGGCAACACCGTTCATCTAAATCAAAATCCCATGCACTGAATTATGTATCTTCGTGTAGTCTATTTGTGTGACAAATTTTATTGAAATAAGACCAAAACTGTAGTAGTAGTAGCGTTTTAAAGGAATTTCACCGAAATTTCTATTTTTAGTAACCACCGCAACATCGTTCATCGTAAACAAAAACCGATATATAGAAATATGTATCTTAGTGTTGTCTATGTGTGTGCCAAGTTATATTGAAATCAGACCAAAACTGTAGGAGGATTAGCATCTTAAAAGTATTTCACAGAAATTTCTATTTTTAGTAACCACGACAACACTCGAAAACCGATATACAGAATTATGTATCTTACTGTAGTCTACTTGTGTGCCAAGTAATATTGAAATCAGACCAAAACTGTGGGAGGAGTAGCGTTTTGAAAAATTGTTTCCAGACAGATGGACAGACAGCTGGACGGACGACGGACACCTTAGTATCGCATAAGCTCTTCTGGTCTCTGACCAGTAGAGCTAAAAATCAATTTCCGCCTAGTATCGAACACGCCAAATATAATACATTTACAGTATTCTAATACTTGTCCCTCTTAAGCTAGTAAACGATTTTTTTGTTCGCTTCTTTTTTCCCAAGTCATGCCTATCAGCTACCCTTTCAAATCGTATAATGAATGTGTCCCAACTGATCTTTCCTTCACCACTAAATGTTTGTAATCTTGATGTTTGACTGCGTAGGTCATGGTGTCTGTCATAGTCAGTCACTACTGGAGGAAGAGGAAGAGGATCGTGAAGAGGAGGGGGATTGGTATCTTTGTGTTCTATAATGTTTTCTACTTCTTGTATTTTCATCATATTTGCTGTCGAACATGTTTGATCTTAAGTTAAATATGTATGTCTTTGGTATCTTGTATTTTGCTTTTTTCTGTTTTGTTTTGTGCCTGATTGCTTTCTGTCAGAATAATTTTTTGTGTTTATGTTATCTGCTGGCACATCACTTAACCGTTTTCTCTGTTGAGCTTTTTGCTTTCATGCAAACGCTGCTTTTTTTCTTCTCTCTCTCTCTCCATTTGCTACTCAACCCGTCTCTCTTATTTCACACTCAAATCTCTCATGCAGTATCATGATCTCTCATGACATGGAACAAATCTGACTCTAAACTAGTAGCACCCACAAAGGAAACTGCTTAATTTTATTCCCGTTTTTTAGCTCTACTGGTCATAGACCAGAAGAGCTTATGCGATATTAATGCGTCCGGCGTCCGTCCGTCCGTCTGTCTGTCTGTCCGACTGTAAACAATTTTTTAAAATGCTACTCCTCCTACAGTTTTGGTCTGATTTCAATATAACTTGGCACACAAGTAGACCGCACTAAGATACGTAATTCTGTATATCGGTTTTTGATTTCAATGAACGGTGTTGCCGTGGGTTTTAAAAATAGAAATTTTTGTGAAATTGTTTCAAAATGGTACTCCTCCTATAGTTTTGATCTGATTTCAATGTTTCTTGGCAGACAAGTAGACCACACTAAGACACATATTTCTGTATATCGAGTTTTGATTTCGATGTTCATTATTGCCGTGGTTACTAAAATTAGAAATTTCTGTAAAATTATTTCAAAATGCAACTTATCCTACAGATTTAGTCTGATTTCAATACAACTTGGCACACAAGTAGACTACACTAAGATACACAGTTCTGTATATTGATTTTTGATTTTGATGAACGTTGTTGTCGTGGTTACTAAAAATAGAAATTTCTGTGAAATCCTTTCAAAATACGGACTGTAAGCTCGTAAACGAGAGCGCGCGAGATTTGAATACTTCCGGTGACAAACAAAATGGTGATATGCTTTGCGTTCGGATGTAGTCACCGAAGTGGTGCGAATAATTGTAGTTTTTATCGGTTTCCCACAGACGCAAAGAAAAGGACATTATGGGGAAGGTTGTGCAGGTCAGTTTTATGCATTTTTTAAAATTTGATAAGTCTGTATTAAACGAAATATCCGTCTGCAGCGCATGACTTTCAGTTTGCATGCGCCGCGATTACCAAGCTGTATCTATTCCTTGAGTTGCATAGTGACACTTAGTGATAAGTTTATGATTTTTATCCTTTCACATTAAAGTATATACCTTTATCTGCATTGTACAAATGTCTGTAGAGAACTATCATACTATAGGTTGTACATGCCAACACAAATATTAATCCGAGATTCCTCTGACTGACTGTGACGTGATTACGATTAACAGATTAATATCAAAACAGTTAAAATACTGAAGCAAATCACAGAGATACCAATGTGTACATGTAAATTATGTCAATAAGCACCGATATATAGAATAGCATAAATTGAAATAAGATAGATTTATTAAAAAATCAGGGTCCTGTGGGCATTAACTTGTGCATGTAACATATATAATTAATCCACTTCTGTTCAATGCAGAGTATACAACAAGCATATTAACAACATGCATGTTTTGATTTTTATACATATATATTTCTACTCTTAAACTATACATTTACACAAACAATCCTTTGATTTATTTAGAAGAGCTGATCGACAGCCAGAGAATCAAAACGACAGAGTATGTTCTTGCCATTTTAAGGAGGGAAGAAAGGAAGGAGACCCTGTCTTCTTTCCTTGGAATGATAAAAAGTATATGGACTATCAGGATCCAGAAAAGTCAGAAAGGTGAGAGAGAATTTATATGTAGATGTAATAAATTTTATCCCAGTCACAAATTATAAATATTTTTTTTTATTTCATATAGTTTAAACTACAGCATGAACCTTTTTGAACAAAAACATGTTAAATATAATGCATTTATTGAATATTTATTATTTACAGGAAAAGGAGGAAAACATGTTTGTCATCGCCCTATGAAGTCGATAACTTCAGTCAGTCCTTATCCTGTGAGAGAGAGCAGACAGAAGATGCAGTAGATTTTGATGATGTAGAACATGTAATATTATATCAATAACTTTTTAGATGTGTTTTTAAAAACTGAAATACACATGTATATAGTTGAAATACTTGACTGTAAAAAAAAATCAGATTATAAATGTACATGTATATATTTTAAGGTTGAAGTAGAACACAGTTATACAGTCTCTTGCTCTCGAAACTGTTCCAAAGAAATGCAGCGGCTCTCATCAGAGATAAAAAAGTTGGAAGAAGAGTTACATGCAATAAAAGTCAACATGGATAAAAGAAAACCCATGACTGTAGCTGAAATTAAGGACAACGAAGAAAAGGTAACATTGTTGATGAGGTAAAATAAGGTACCGGGTATTTAAAAAAAAAAATTGTTGAGTGCTTTTATTTAGAAATTTATGACAATTCTTTTCTTTACAGATGCTGCTTTATACTTCAATACAATATGATGTCTTTGAAGTGCTTGTAAAACTACTTGGTCGATTCAGTTTAAATTACTTTCTTGGTTGGACACCATCCCTTAAACTTGAAGATCAACTTTTGATTGTTTTCATGAAGCTTAAACTAAACCTTAGAGACATTGACTTAGCTCACAGGTATATACTGGTAGTTAATCTTTTCTCTGAATAAATCAAATTCATAATTTTCTGATCGTGCTATTCATGACATTTTTTTTTCAAAGATTTTTTTTGAATTGGGGACATATTTTGATAACATGATATATTTTGATTTGCATTATTCAACAGGTTTTGTGTAAGCAGGCCAACAATTTCTAATATTTTCCACTCACTGGTTCATGCCCTTCATGAAATGCTGTACAAGGGGGTTGTTGATACATGTTTTCCTAGTCAACTAAAATGTAAAGGTTTGTATGTTGTGTTATAGTATGCAAATGATTGATGTATTTGTAAAATTTTTCATTTCCATATCCTCCATCTTAAACTACTTGTGTACACATTATTTTACATAAAAAATAAAATGGTTCGATGACTTAATCTGAATGTTGTGGCTTAAATATAAGATTAGAGCTATATTTTATAATACATGTACAACTGAGATGAAGAGAATAATACATGCGTTTGTCAGTTGCCCTGTAAATTATCATGATTATACATGTAGCATGAAATTTATGTTCCTCCAATTTTTCATTTAGGCTCCATGCCAAAGGCATTTGCAGAATTCTCTTCTGCAAGGGCATCTATGGATGCCATTGAGACAACACAGGATATACCAGGACATCTTGATACACAGGCTAGGGCATACAGTTCGTATAAGAGCCGTCACACCGTCAAGGCAGTGACTTGTGTAGCACCAAATGGTGCAATCACTTACTGTTCTCCTTTATATCCGGGATCAACATCTGATGTTGCAATTGTGCGTCACAGCAAAATTCTTGAGAAGTTTAAGCCCGGGGACCTGATTTTAGCCGATAAGGGATTTACAATCCACGATCAGTTACCACAAGGTGTGTGCTTGAATATTCCTGCATTTTTAACTTCAAGAGGGCAGTTTACGAAGAAAGAAGCAGAACTATGTTATAAAATAGCCAGAGCAAGAATTCACGTGGAGAGAGCTAATGAGAGAATTAAAAACTTTGAAATACTTCGCCACATACCAGCAACCTACAGGCCATTATCAACAAAGATATTTCAACTGTGTTCTGCATTAGTCAATTTGCAAGCTCCTCTTTTGAAAGAAATTTCATAGTACATTATATATTTATAATGTAATGATAGTTTTGATACTTCAGTATTGTTCATGGAATGTATTAGGATGTAGAATGATGTACACAGTCATAGTCTAGCATATTGATTTTTGCAAATCTTACACTGAGATCTCTAACATACTGTCTTAAAAATCTGTATATTTAGCATGTACAAAATTTGGCAGACAATTTTTCAACATGTTTGTTGTAGATCTGATTCAGTGCATTTCTGTATTCATAGATATCTATCTGCAGTTCTGCACAGCACATAGCTATGTACTTGATTTAGTAGTGGCTACATAATGCCAAAAGACTTAAATTGAAGACATACTAGTTTTAAGTAATACATTTACAGTATTTACTTGTGCATATAATAAATAATTTAAAACAATATACACAGTGAGTAAAATTTTATTTATACATTGAGAAAATTATATTGTATAATATAGCCCAATTTAAACACAGGTTACTTAGCATTTACCCTCAGGAAAATTTTTAAAGACAAGCACTGTTGAACAGAAATCATTGTTTACATGTGTAGGGTAAATACATGTTAATAAAGAGTTCAATTTATCATACTCTATTAAAACTTTATGAATGTTAGAATTGATTACAAATCAAATAATGCATTGCATATTCTCAATTTCATTCATTAATTTTAAATCCTGGGACGGATTACTCAATTTTTATAAAAATATAACTTATTCAGAACACTTTAGTGTGAAGTGTCAATAGGGTTCATCACTTCTGATTGTTTTTGATTATTACAGATATTATTTCAACACATTAATTTTGGATTAATTCAGGAATGAATGTATTAAAATAAAATTCTATCAATTGTGCAATGTTTTTTGTCCATCCAGAGTCCTTGATAATCCGGATAACTTTGCAGTCCTTGGTAGTCCAAACAATCAAGTCACAGCAGGTCTTGTTGCATAAATGTAGTTGGCCTTGTATCTGGTGATAATAAGGATGGTTGGACTTGAGGTAGTAAGAGTCTTCTCTGTACTCTAAATGCAACAACACAACTTGAATATAACATTTACTCAAAGTTGAATTAGTAATAACTGGAATAACGAATAGACAAAATCATATACAGTCCAATCTTGTTATCTGGATCTTGAAGGGGCCAGAAAACAATAGATATCCAAGAAATCACAAAATTAAACGTTAAATGCTTTAATAAGAAATTGGGACTTCCAACTCAGTTCGACATACATGTTCCCTTCAGTATCAAAGACAATAGTTGAGATACCAAGTTTGACTTCATATTGAAAAGACATTGAGAAACGGAGGTTTCACACAGTTTAATATACCCTAATTTATACCAAGTACTTACCAAGGTAAAAGTCTTTAAGACTGTGCACTGCCTCATATATTGTTAAATGTGCTGCAGAGTAAGGACACTTTACTTCAACTACTTCAGGTAAAGCATTCTGAGCTTCTGGTGTCTGGAAATTAACATCACATCTTGGTGGGTGCAGGACAAGACCATCTGGAGATGCGCCTAAAACTCCAGACTCGTGCAGCCAAATTCCTTTATCAAAATAAAATGCAAATTTATAGAAAAAAAATAATATTGCAGTGTTTGTACTAAGTAAATAGATAGTTATCTAAGAATTTTTAATTCTCGATGACATTTTTGGTAAAAATAATTATTGAAGATGGTGCCATGGTCAATGACAAATACTGCTGATTAATTTGGATGAAATACTTAATTAAAAATTTTTTACCAGTTTGTTGCACAGAGGCACCAAAGTCATGTTCATATTTTTTCAATGCGTCTTCTTCATGTGTTATTCCCCAAGCAACTGCTTTGATTGATTCCAAATTGTATGAGGACATCAGACGTTTCTTAAGAGAAATTGTAATTCTGCAAAGATAAATGCTGGCATTTTAGCTTAGGTTGTTGTAAGTATCACATCATTATTAAATATAACAAATAAATGATAACTAATGCTAACTACAAGCATCATGCTCTATTTGGAGTTTTTAATTTTGTCCACATAAACTAACCGTCTTCTATTTGTACTAAGCACTGCTCCAAAATTGGATGCTGTTATCCTGTTCTTTCTGATGATTGACCACATAGGATTGTTTCTTTGACCCTTGGTTGCCAATGCTGTATTAGCTATGATATCCTCAGACAAAATCAAAGCTCGTCTTAACCATACCATTGGTGTATCAGAATGGATAAATTCTGGACTCGTCAATAGATCTTCTATGACAGGGGCAGGAGGTCCTGGCTCAAGTGGTTCTGGCTGAAGAATCCATTCCATAGCTAAAATACATGTACATGCATAAACATCCTTTTTAAAAAAATATTTGCATCTACAGTTACACATTTATAAAAAGTTTTTTTTTAATTAAAAAAAAAATCACAATAGTACAATCTATTTCTGTTTGTTTCAATATTACAGCATTTTTTGTGTTTAATAAATTCTGTAAAAAAAAAAACTGTCAAGACATAATAATTGTCCACATCACATGTATAAACAACAAAAACTTAATATGAACTAAATATTTGACAATTTTTAAAAATTCAAATGCAAGTAATTTCCTAAAGGAAAATGAAATGAAAGATGAAATGAAAAAAAATTAATAAATCAGAATACAAATTAATAAAACATATTTCGCAAATTGGCAACATCCGGTTAAAATACCAATAAATCTGCCTAGTTTTGATAATTCTTGTTGAAAGAAACTTCTGTCGCTATCATCAAATGGTCTGTCTAGTGCACTTTAAATTCAAGAAAAATTGGTTCTTCTTTAAACACAAGTGATTAAATTATTTTTTTCTTCAATGTTTTGAACATTTTATTTCATACTTACTGATAATCAGGTTGAGATGGTGGAAATAATTCTTCCATTGTTTTAGTGTCAGTTTTCATTGCCGTCTTTGGATTTTTCAGCCATCCGCATTTCACGTCAGTTTTGCTGACGCACTTGTACCTTTTAAATTGAATAACTCACAATTGATAGTATGTCAGATTTGTGTTTCTAACATTTTTTCATGTTAATGCATTAATCATTATGTAGCAAACACAGTGTCAGTCCATTCAAAACTTGATGCATTTTAATTTCATGCTATGTTTACCATCTTCTTTCAAGTCATAATTGATGAAACCTCTTTTAATCTTCTAAACTCAGTGAGTCAATCTTAAATAATGCTGTGTACATAAAGCTTACCCATACAACAATGCTGCTGCAACATGATGGCAGACATATTGTCCTAAAGGACACTCACACGTTGATGAAGAAACAGCATAGCCATCGTTCAGAAATGCCTATCAAAATAAAATACGGGTTATAGAACAGAACATGTGGTTATAACATTAACAGTTAACACCCCCCCCCCCATCCCCCTCAAACACACACACAAAATTTCCTGAATTATAGCTACATACAGTCATTGATACCTAAAATTACTTAAATCAAAAGAATGGGGTTTCATTCAAAAAAATATATATTCTAGAAAGCGACAAATACGAATGAAGCTACTACAAATAAAAAAAAAATCACAAAAGGACAATCTCCTTACCGTTACTTTGTAGGACTTGTTCTTCATTGACGCTTGCACAACAGCATTGACAACGTTTTCCTCGTTGTCGTAGAGGAACTTCAACACATGGTTACTATACACAGCGTTCTCCGATTTTCTCATAAGCTTCGGTTTGTCTGTGGTATAGTTCGCCCAGTACTGTATTGATATCGCCATTTTTTTGTTTGTCACCGGAAGCGCTTCACCGGAAGTAACAAAAAACGAGACTTACAGCCCCTATCAGTAGTGCCCCTACCACACATGAACCCCTGACCCTTAGGCCTTGATATCTGATTAATACCAAGGAGCAGATTTCAAACCATTCATTCATTTTCAGTATACGAGTACAGCCCCCCCTTCTATGGTACCCCTGACCCTGGGGCCTTGAAATTCATAATTCTGGAAGATAAGGGCCCTTGTCCATCATAACTATATAGGTAGTTAATCTGCTTAATACCCAGGAGCAGAGAAGAAGATTTTCAAAGAATTCATGTGTTTTCACTATATGATCTATAGAGCCCCGCCCTAGCAATAGAACCCCTGTTCCTGGGGCCATAAAATTCACAATTTTGGTAGAGGCACTCTTGCTCATCATAACTATGCACTTAGTTAGTTTATTTAATACCCAGGAGCAGAGAAGAAGATTTTCAAAGAATTCATGTATCTTCACTATATAATCTCTAGAGCCCCGCCCTAACACCAGAACCCCTGACCCTGGGGCCATAAAATTCATAATTTTGGTAGAGGCACTCTTGCTCATCATAACTATGCACTTAGTTTATTTAATACCCAGGAGCAGAGAAGAAGATTTTCAAAGAATTCATGTGTTTTCACTACTATAGTATAAGATCTATAGAGCCCCGCCCTAGCAATAGAACCCCTGACCCTGGGGCCATAAAATTCACAATTTTGGTAGAGGCACTCTTGCTCATCATAACTATGCACTTAGTTAGTTTATTTAATAACTAGGAGCAGAGAAGAAGATTTTCAAAGAATTCATGTATCTTCACTGTATAATCAATAGAGCCCCGCCCTAACACCAGAACCCCTGACCCTGGGGCCATAAAATTCACAATTTTGGTAGAGGCACTCTTCCTCATCACAACTATGTATTTAGTTGGTTTATTTAATACCCAGGAGCAGAGAAGAAGATTTTCAAAGAAATAATGCATTTTCACTACCTACTTATTTAGCCCCCCTAGCACTAAAACCCCTCACCCCAGGGCCATGAATTTCACAATTTTGGTAGAGGACTCATTGCTAATTACAATCATGCAAACAGTTTGACTGCTTAATGTCCAGGAGTAAAGAAGAAGATTTTTAAAGATTGCATTAATTTTAGTGGTTTTGGCCCCACCCCTCAGGCCCCAGGGGGTCAGGGATCATGAAATTCACAGTTTTTGTTCCCCTTTACCCATAAATGCTTTGTGCTTAATTTGGTTGAAATTGGTTCAGTGGTTGCAGAGAAGAAGCTGAAAATGTTCAAATGTGAACGCACAACGCACGACGACGGACGAAAACGGATAGCAATAGGTCACCTGAGTTTACTCAGGTGACCTAAAAATAGAAATTTCTGTAAAATTGTTTCAAAATGCTACTTCTCCTACAGTTTTGGTCTGATTTCAATTTATCTTGGCACACAAGTAGACTACACTAATACCCCATTCATACGACATGATTTGCGTACCTCAGTATATTTTACTCATATGCAAATTTACTCACATATGCAATTTTTGTCGTATGAACTGATTTGCTCGCATGTAAATTCTGCACAGTTGAGTAAATTTACACCTGGTCAGGACTAGGTGCAAATAAACTTTGGCATACATGTTTTCGCAAATTAATAGTTCATGTGTGTAAATTTTGTCGTATGAACTCGCAGCAAATTTACTTATGTATTTTGTTTTGTTTATTGCATAAATCTCCATTTTAAGTGTTGTTTCGGATGTTTATGTATTGTTGTGTGTATAATATCAGTCTGTTAGCAT